TGCTATTTTAGACGATGAAAACTAGTTCACATAAAATGGGAATAATGCAATGATAAATTATTATTATTCTAATGATCCGAATACAGTTACTGTTGATTTTAAATTCAAAAAAAGAAAAAGAAGTTTCCACGGAAAATCATGATGTGATTGGTCATGCCATCGAAAAAAGTTTTCAGATGTATAATTATGAAAAGTACGAACTCATTTTGAGGATACTTCTCTTGTTTCTTACGCGTCATTTCGTTTAATAACCTATCCCAAAAATAAATTATATACGGTTCGAAAGAATACAAAGTTTTCTTTCAACACCCATCTATCAAAGAGAAATAGCAATCGACATTTGTCCTTTGGTAAAAAAAAACTCTCATAGGACTTGATCGAAATCAATCATATATTATCGAAAGTAAGTCTTAAGATTCCTCTTCCTCAATCACAGTCAAGTTGCGTGAAAAATATGAAAATTAGGATGAATGTATGGGGAGATAGTCCGAGATCTGATCTTTCATAAATGATATGAATTTTTTATTGTCCCAAATTTCGTAAAGAAGACTTATTGTAGTTAATGTAGTTTTTCTTTTTTTTTCAATTAAGCATTGTTACTATTATATAAAAGAATACTTTTATAACGAGAGTGTCGTTTTTTTTGAGACATTGAACTTTTCTCTCCTTAAAAAGTAAGAGTTTAGAAAAAAAAATTAAGGCACACAGAGAATTTTACGTTGCCAAATGATTCACGTTATGGTATAGGGTTGAAAATTTCATACGATTTGAATATACCTAGACCAAGATCGATTTTTGAAAGGTAGGAGAGAAAGGCTTATAGTGAACTCGCTAGACAGTACGCATGATGTACTAAAATAGTTTACTAAATCATTTTTCATACAAATATCTATAATTTGTTTTTTTAGGCATGAAATTTACTGAATTATATGAACAATGTAAACGTTCATTTTATGTAAATAATGAACAAAATCTTCGTTTACAATTAATTGAATTTATTGATCATCGTCTTATTAAACTTGGTAAAAGTACAAATGATGGACAAGAAATTGTTCGATTACTTATTGCTGAACAAGATATTGTTAAACAATTATTAGATAAACTCAAATAATCTATAGTAACAAAAAAAAACAAGGAAACAATTAGATAATCAATGTCAGATAGTTATTTTTTTTCTTATTATTTCATGATGAATTTCTTTTTCTATTTGTATCTACATGCAATAAAATAAATAAACGATAAAAATATCCTTATTATTATTATTATTATTATTCTTTTTATAGATGAAAAAATGAATATTGAATTACTTTCTACATTTCAACAAAATTATCCTGAAGAATTCGATGGCATACTTGATTGTGCATCGATGGCTGTTTGTTGTGCTTTTAATAAAGTTGGTAAGTATTTCTTAAAAAAAAACAAATAATAACATATACAATTAAATATTTTACAAATAAAAACAAAAGGTTCAATGTTAGCTGTTGGTTGTTCCGATGGTCGTCTTGTTATATGGGATTTTTTAACACGTGGTATAGCTAAAATAATTTGTGCTGATTGGTCACCAATATATTGTATATCATGGTCAAAAAAATCTGATTTAATAGCAACATCATCAACAGATAATACTGTTTGTATATGGTATACATCAACAGGTCGTTGTCGTACACGTATATCATGTATACAATCACCTATACTTAAAGTTCAATTTCATCCACGTAATTCATCTTATTTACTTATATGTCCAATGAAACATCCACCTGTTTTAATTGATAATAATGGTAAACATACAATAGTTACAATTGATGATGAACCAAATGATATAATATCAACATTTGATAGAAAAGGTGAACATATTATATTAGGTAATAGTCGAGGTTTAATTATTGTTAAAACATTTTCGGATTTAAAAACTATTTCATCATTTCGAATTACAACTGGAACAAATACAAATACGGTATTAAGACATATTGAAATTCCTCGTCGAGGTAAGAACAAAAATAATAATTCGAAATTGTCAATTGATAAAAACATTGAGTCTATTCAGATTTATTATAAAAACTGACGAGGGAATCTTCTGAGATGTTTCATTCTGACTTCAATGATTTGTTTTTGTCTTTAGATATTACATAGTATTCTAGTGGAAGCTTTAGAAGGGTTTGGATTTCTATTGAAGCTTGGTGAAGTTATTAAATTCTTTCATACGTCTATTTGCTACAGAGATTTCTGTAGAATCGTAGTTTTTCAGAAGATTCGTCGTTTTGAAACTATCTCAATTTGAAGGTCCTATATACAGTAACTTGTATGAAGAGTTTCTAAATTTCATATTTTAGAGATGCGAACTTTTCAAAATACTCTTGTATTATTCACTACGTTTCGAAAAGTCCGTATCTCAGCAATACGAAATCTTGAAATTCTTCAGAGAGGCTACTGTATATGAGATCTTCAAATGGAAATAATTTTAAAATTACGATCTTGTCGAAAATCTAAGATTCTATAGGAATCTCTGGCAAACAGATTTTATAAGGTTTTCATTAGAATATTGTGCAGTACATAGAAGTAAACAATAATTGAAATTGAAAGGGAGTATCTCGGAAGGTTCTCTCGGTAGTTCAAATATTCATTATGGCATTTATAATCATAATACACATCATGTTAGACGGCTTAAGTATTAAGTTATTTAAACTATTCTCAGAAAAAAAACTTATATTTGTTTGATAAAAGACTAAATTTGTTTCGCTAATGATTATATATATTCACAATAAAATTTCATAAAGGAAAAAAAGTCTTATTACAAAGATAAATAATCTATAGCAACACGAGGCAGAAGGAAGGATACCCTTATCTTGCAGTATGGGGTGTTGCCTAGTATCAAATTCAGTAACCCAATATTTTCCTACAACTATAACTAGCTGTAGCTCTGAACAGAAGGCCGACCTAACGTAGAGTTCTTGCGCTCCTCATATACGCTAACTAACCACAAGAGTAGGTGTATATCACAACGTAATCAGCATACTATCGGATGGATGATTCGAGATAAATAGCCATTAATGACTTATTTCCTAGGTTACCCAGAAATTTGAACATTGAACTTTGTAGATATCTGCCGAGCAAGGTAGTCACTCAGCTATGGTGATCTCTAGATCAACAAGGAAAATTCTCTAGATGAAAATCATTCAACTAATGAATACCAATCAGATTTCATTTATTTTTTCGTTTTCTAGGTCAATATTGTCTAGTTAATACAAGTGATCGAATAATTCGAATCTATAGCTATACTGAAATGTTATCATGTGGTATTGGTCGTGATCTCGAACCTAAACAAAAACTTCAAGATCTTGTTAATAAATCATTATGGCGTAAATGTTGTTGGTCAGGTGATGGTGAATATATATGTGGTGCATCATCTCGACAACATTCATTATATATTTGGGAAACTGTATCTGGTAATTTAGTTAAAATTTTACATGGTACAAAAGGTGAAGCATTAGCTGATGTATGTTGGCATCCAGTACGTCCAATAATTGCAAGTATATCAAGTGGTGTTGTATCAATATGGTCACATTCTCAAGTTGAAAACTGGTCAGCATTTGCACCAGATTTTCGTGAACTTGAAGAAAATGTTGAATATCATGAACGTGAATCAGAATTTGATATTAAAGATGAAGATCGTAGTTTAGATGGTTTAGATTATGCAGGTTCACCAAATAAACGACAACGTTTAGATACAAATGGAAATATTAAAAATAATGATGATGATAATATTGAAATAGATGTTGTTACTGATCAACGTATTGAAGCATTAGTATCAAGTGATGATGATGATATTAATGATCAACTTATTTATTTACCAGTTGCACCTGATATTGAAGATCCTGATATTGATTTTCCAACACCTGTATCTAATATACCTAAAACTCGTGCAACAAGTCCGTCATTACAGACACGTGTTTCAGCTGATGAAACATATGATATACAATTAAAAATTTCACCTGTTCATGATGTACATCCATATTATGGTGGAACAAAACAACCACGATCAACAATAAATACATTGATAAATACTCAAGATTCTATAGGTAATAAACGTGAAATAAAAAATCGTCGTAAAGGACATCATCATCATCATCATCACCATCATCATCATCATCAATTTCAACAACAAAATTCTCTTATACAACAAGAACAAATAAATCAACAACCAATTTTATTACCAAAATCAATTGATGCAGCTGTTGCAACTGTAACAAATAATCAAAAACGAACATTAGTAACACAAACATCAGAAATCAAAGGACAACGAGCACGTTCAGCTCGTCTTGAAGGTAAAAAAGCTGCAGCAACAACACCAATTGTAGGTAATACACAAACATCCGTATCAATAATAACAACAACAACAACAACAACAACAGCAACTGAAGATATAATTAGTACACCACGTACTAAACGTAGTAGTCATCATTCACATTCAATTGATAATGATGTTGACTTTATACCACATTAAAATATTTATATTAATTTGATATTGTTTTCCTTTTTGTTTTTGTTGTTGTTCTTTAGTATTAGAATCTCTTGTGTGTATGAGAGTTTATTGTGATTTTTTTGTTTGCATTGTAAATATTATTTTGTTTTTGGTTTTAAACGTACAGAAAATGATTCGTATTTAGCAAACAATTTTTTTGTCTCTTTTCGTTTTTATGTAGGACAAAAAAAGAACAGATATGATTGAAATAGGAGTTAGTTATTCGACTGTTAGAATTATAAAATATATTGAAGGAATAGAATCAATTTTACATATTTTATTTCGAACAAAACATTATAACTTTCCTATTGCCTTTTCAATAGATTCTATAATTCTACATTGAATTTTAATTATCTGTATGATTTAATTTTGAACAAATTTCATAAAAGAAATTTATTTGCTTTGTGTCATGTTTATAAATATTATGTACAATAAAAAAAAAACAAAGATAATTTTTTCTTTCTTAAGTATTATTGAAGATATGCTTGTCTGGCGACGATTCATTCATACCAATGTATCACGATATTTATCTCAATCAGCTGTTGCTTCAAATTCACCATCACCATTAAGTATCTTACGAAAAAAAACAGGTTATTCATTATCTCATTGTCGGACTGCACTTCAACAATTTAATGATAATCTTGAACAAGTAAATATTTTTAAAATTATTAAAAGATTATTTTAATAAAATTTGTCTTATTTTTAAGGCTGAAGCATGGCTTCATCAACGTGCTCAAGCTGAAGGTTGGAGTCGAGCAACAAAATTACAAAGTCGTGCTGCATCTCAAGGTTTAATTGGTATTATAACAGACAAAGATTCAGCTGCAATGGTTGAGGTTTGTAAAATTCAAATCGTAGATTATTTTGTATATAGTGGCAGACAAAAGTTTACAGCAACTGTATTTTTAAGCTTCCTTCTCGATGGTAATAGCTAGCAAGAATCTAAAAAAAATATTTGTGTAACTGGAAAAATTCTCTATCAGGATTAGCAGGCCCGAAGACTTCAACGAAATCACTTGGATGAGTATCTATGGAAAACTAAGATCAATCTCTCTATGACCTTCTTACATATTTGATGCTTTGAAGTGTTCTGTAGATTGAATGTAGTTCAATGAAGGAAATTTCATAAAGAGATCGAAAATATCTCATTTTGCTCTATCAAATAAAATCTTTTCCTACAAACTTGGTATGAAGGCCAGAAAGCTAGTTTTTGATGTCTTGGTTTTCCGTAGACTCTTATCTAAGCAGTTTTGTTGTAGTCTTCAAGCGTACCAATCTTGATAGAGAATTCTTTCAGTTATACAAACATTTTTTCGGATTCTTCCTAGCTATTACCAACGAGAAGAAAGCTTAAAAATACAGCTGCTTTAAATTTTTGTCTGGTACTAAATATATGTTTTTTATTTAGATTAATTGTGAAACAGATTTTGTGGCTAAAAATGAAAAATTTCAACAACTTGTTTCTCATGTTGCAAATAGTCTAATAACTAATCAAAAGGATAAATCGAAAGAAAAGGTTTCTATTATTATTATTTTTTTTGATGATCTTTGTTTTTTTTTGTTCATTCTATTAATTTGCATTTCTTTATAAAGGTATTCTATGATAAAGATGCTCTATCAACTTTACCTTCTGTTGATGATCATTCAAAAACATTAGCTGATATGGCAGCTTTATGTGTTGGATCAGTTGGAGAAAATGTTGTTTTACGACGTGGTATTGTATTTAATATTAAAAATAATCAATTATTTGCTAGTTATTGTCATGGACAAATTAATAATGCAAGTACAGATTCATGTCGTATGGGAAAATATGGTGCACTTGTTAATTATTCTCAAATTGATTCAACAATAACAAATGATTCAAATGTAATAAATCATTAAATCGAAAAAAAATACATCATTTTTTTTTTTAAATTCTCTGTTTTAGGATGAAAATACTTCAACATTATCTTCAACTATATTAACTCGTTCTTATCCATTACGAACAATATGTCAAAATAATATTCAAAAACCAATTGAATTAAGTACTTATCTTGATCAACAAGATGAAACGAGTCAACTTCATGAATATCTTAATGGATATATTTATGCATTACCATCACGTGAAAGTACACATGATTTATTTGTAAAAAATTTAAGTGCACAAATTGAACAACAACAAATAAAAAATATTCATATACTTCCAATGGATATACGTATACAAACACCTGATCCTATTTATATTTATTATCCAAGTTTATGTCTTAGTAATCAACCACCTAAAACTGATCAAGCAATAACACGTGAACCTATTGTTATTATTGAACTTATTACACCAACAACTGAACGTTTTATTTTACATGAAAAATCAATTAATTATAAAAGAATACCATCATTAAAAGAAATTATTTATATTTGGCCAAATTTAAAAATAGCTCAAGTCGATTTTCGTAATGATAAATCATCAGAATGGACGAGAAAATATTACGACATACAAGATAAAATTCCATTAACACAAGCAATTGATAATGGTGAATTAGTACTTACTGACATATTTAATAATATGGTAAGTTTTATATTTCAATATATGAATCATTTTGATAAGACAAAATGATTTTGTGTCATCAAGACAATTATTATTTAATCTTATCAAAATAACAGAAACAAAAAAAAAAAAAGAAAGAATCATTTTTTTTCTTCTCTATTAAAAATAACTCATCACACACCCCCATGAAATTCTAAACTTCACAATTACGTAATATTTGAAATCTAATAACGTTGTATTTCGATACAAATATTTCATATATACAATAGCACTATTTGAAATATAATGTCAAAGTCACATATAAATATGATTATTCATGATGTAATTTTATCGATTTTGTAATGAATAAAATAAATATTAATTACTGTTGTTCTTTATTGATGAAAAAAAAAAAGAAAATCAACAAATCATTATTTTTCATATAATAAAGAAAAAACTTGTACAGTGAAAAAAAAATTTCTACCTAATGTGCATTAAATTCATTTATTTTCCAGTCAAATTATCAAAACAAAAAAAAGGACCAGAAAATGAACTAACTATTCATTCATTCATTCATTTTTTGTTAATTGCCCACCTTTGGAATAAAATGTAACATGTGCTTCATTTGTTCGACCTGTTCGTTCATCAAATATATTACACTGAGAATATGGTGGTACATAAAGATGTAATGTAGCACATGTATCCGTATGACTTGGATTTTCAACACGGTGTAAGCCGATTGTATCATTTATATAAGTAACTTGTCCTTCTTTTAATTCTGTTCGAGATATAATACGCATTTGTTCTTCTTTATTTTCATCATTTGGCCATGCATATTTTGTTTCAATTAAACTTCCTTGTAAACATTTCATAAAACAATGTGAATTTGTATGATCATGTATTGATGAACCTTGACCTTCAGCCCAACATAAAATCATTAAGTTAAATTTTCCATTACCACCATTAACTAAATTTCTTGTATATTTATTTGGTTGAAATTTCATATATGGTAACCATTCTTTCATATTACCTTTATAATTGTTCATTATTGTAGAAACATAATCAATATCAACATCATTTGTAGCAAATGCTTGATAAATTAAATCAATTAATTCATTTAAAGAATTTGGTTGTGTTGATAAATGTGCTGTTTTATCTACATATTCCATACGGATTAATTGAATATCATTCGTATTAGTATACGTATTGACAAGTGCTTCCGTCATATTCGTTTGTTAGGATTGAATACAAATCGAATATTCTATTTATTTAAGATGAAGAATATATATATAGGGTTTTTTTTTGTTTTTCACGGATTAATCTTGTTTTTGTTTCTCTTTGTTTACATCAGAAATATATAACCTTACATAAATGTATTCTTTTTTTTCGTGTTATCAAAATAAAAAATAATCTAATCTCTAATCGAATATGAAATTTGATCAATAATATATTAACGAACCACGATAACTGGATAAAAAGTTTAAGGATTATTGCTTCTTTTTTTATTTTATAGACAAACCAATTTGGACGTTTACTTGCTCAACATATTGTAGCAACACGTTCAAAAACAATTGGTTTAAATGAAAAGAAACAAATAGGAAATGATGAAGATCGTTTATTATATCAAAAATGGATGCATACTGATGATAAGAAAAAAACAGTTGAAATGTTTCTTAATGAAAATCAATTAAATGTTAATAATTTTGCACGATTTGAATGTGGAGAAGAAATTTAATTGACAATAAATTATCAAGATTGTTCAAGTCTTTTTTTTTTGCAGCATTATTATTATCTGTTTGTTTTTCTTTGTGTTAAATACCATTGTTTAGGTAAAAATTCATCTTTTAATGTTTGTTTTTCCGAAATAAACATCAAGTTTACTAAAAATAAATGATTTTTTTTGTTTACAATCAATATTTTATATTTATTTCATACTTTAGATGATCTGCATATATTGAATAATATATTTACTCTTTGTTGAATATGTTTTATTTTTATTAGTAGACAACAATAATTTTTATTTCAGATGGCATCAGCTGTCTCTAATTCAAAGGATTTTGAAGAAGAAATACAAAAAGCACGTGAATATTATATGTGTAAGAAATCTTTCATTGAAATGATTTGCACTTAAATATATATATATATATATATAAACATTCTTTTAGACGGGGATTATAATAAAGGTATAACATTTTATAAATTAGCTATTGATAAACTTCGACGTTATTGTCAAACATTATTCGATGGAGCTGAAAAAAAACGTGGCACTGAAGTTTGTTTGATTGATTTTCATTGTACTTATATATCGATTTTTGTTTTTCATTTTACGATATAGTGTCTAGCAGAACTTGAGCGAGAACTTCAATCAACAATAGAACATGAACGAATGATTAGTGAAATTCATGAAAATTTATTAGGAAAATTTATTGGTGGTGGACGATCTGTTAGTAGTGATGCTTATAATGATTTAAATGATGGAGATAGTTTTTATAACGCAGTTATTGATGAGCGTCCAACACGTGATTTAGGTTTTAATAATAATCGAAATCCTCCATATGGTGCTACTCCGTAAGAATCATTAGGATATATGAAAAGAATGGTTTTTTTAAAAAAAGAAATTCTCTATTTTAGATTTCAAACACCAGCTGCACGTTTTCAAGAAGTTCGTCGTGATGTACGATCAACAAATAATAATATAAAAGCTAGAAAAGTTCCATCAAATCTTCCTGATAATAAACAAAAACAACATGATAATAAACGTGTTAATAATCAACAAAATAGTGGAGTTAGTTTAAATCTTACGTTTGATTAAAAGATAAAATATAAAAAGAAATTTTTTATTTTATATTATCAGGAGAGAAAATATCAACCTACAAATGCAGAAAAAGATTTAGTTGAAGGATTAGAACGTGATATTGTTCAAAAAGATCCTAATGTTCGATGGTAAAATGAATATTTATTTTTCTTTCACTAATATTATCGAAATTTATCGTAGGTCGGATGTTGCAGGTTGTGTTGCAGCAAAAAAATTATTACAAGAAGCTGTTGTATTACCACTTTATATGCCAGATTTCTTTAGAGGTATTCGTCGACCTTGGAAGGTATTATTTATCATATTATATCTATATCATATCGAATTTACACCGATCGACAAAGTTATAACTTCGTCAGATAATCGTATCGAAGTGGTAACTTCGATGTTAACATTTGTCGAAGCTACTTCAATCGAACTAAATCCCAAATAAATATTAGTGTATTGCTGATATTAAAAAACAATAGATAAAAATAAAGGCTGTGGGTGTGGCTTAGAAGAAAACATCCACACATATACTCACATCGTATAATTTTTTACATTGTTTTTAATAACATCAATAACCTAATATTTATTTGACATTTAGTTCAATTAAAGTAATTTCGTCAATTTTGTCTGATGAAATGACAACTTCGTCGACCAGTGTGACTTTGATACAATATATATATATATATATATTTCAATTAGGGTATTCTTTTATTTGGTCCACCTGGTACAGGAAAAACCATGTTAGCTAAAGCAGTAGCAACAGAATGTAAAACAACATTTTTTAATGTTGCTGCTGCAAATTTAACATCAAAATATCATGGTGAAGGTGAAAAATTAGTTCGATTACTTTTTGAATTAGCTAAATTTTATGCACCATCAACGGTATTTATTGATGAAATTGATTCATTATGTTCAGCACGTGGTCAAACAAATGAACATGAAGCTAGTCGACGTGCTAAATCTGAATTACTTATTCAAATGGACGGAGTATCAGGTGCACTTGGTAAGATTATTTCTTTGATAGTTCTTCATTCAATATTCTAGCCGTCATGAGTGGTGAGGTTATCTCTTTAGGTGTCAGATCACTTTTCGACCGAGATGATATTCATTTGATGAGTGCTAATAAGTAACAAAAAAGTCTAGAATGGTTTGATTTTCTGAGCCTTCGTTCTTGAGATATCGAAATTTTATTAGATTTTTCAACAAAAAAAAGCTTTAGTTTCCCTCATATAACGTGGAAAATCGAATTTTGAGTTTTGACTTCAAACATTGCATGCACAAAGTAGAGCTGGGCAACTCAACTCAAAATGGTGGTCAATTCAATTCATACATCTTGAAAAATTATTTCAATTCAGTTCAATTCAATTCATGTATCTTGAAAGTTGTTTCAAACTCGATTCCACTCAATTCAATGACTTCGAAAGTTTTTTCTGAATTCAATTCAATTCAATTCTATTACTGAATTGAATTGAATTCAACTCAACTCGGTATTTCGTCTCCTTCATATCTGACTATAACTGGAGTTATCTATTGTAGAAAGATTTGGAGTATTTATTCAACAATATTAGCAGATTACAAGAGAAGGTCATAACTGAATCAAACAATGATGAACAAAAGAGGAATACAGTATAAGAGGTATGTGTTCTCAATAGATAAGATACCACTTAACAAACAAATGATTTGCATGATATTGCCCTATGAGACAAAGATAAATGGACATTGCATCGTCACTTGAAAGAATAGAAAAACAAATCGATACGTTGAAAGCTTAGATGCTTAAATTATATGCAATCATCAAAAAAGAAAAGAAAATAGCGATAAGTTGACGAAAGCACATCGGAAATATATATCAAAATGCGAGTATAATGCAACTATGTTGAAATAGAAGCTTGGAAGACAAATTACAAAAACAGATCATAGGTATACTTTGATCTTTCATTAGTTTTAATGCATAAATTGATCATACAACAATAGTTTCGGAAATATTTTTGAGTTGAATTGAATTGAAATGAATTCGCAAATCTCGAGAAAAATACCTCAATTCAACTCGATTCAATTCAATTTACTCATCTCCAAAAAAGATTTTCAATTCAACTCAATTCAATTCAGTGATCTCAGAATATTTTTTTTTCCAACTCAATTCAATTCAATTCCTTAATTAAGATTTTTTCCTGATTCAATTCAATTCAATTCATAGATGTTTGAAATTTTTGTCCAATTCAATTCAACTAGTAAACCCTGAATATTTTTAGTCAACTCAATTCAACTAGGCTCATGAATTGAATTGAATCGAGTTAAGTTGGTCGTTTTTTGAATTGAGTTGCCCAGCTCTGGAACAAAGTTCTTCACAAGACTAGTTCATTGAACAAGACTTAGTTTTTCCGGGATTTTCTCTCTGGACGTGTAAATATATGAACAAAATTTACTTTTAGACATAAGAGAATTTTGAATATTGAATATATCAGGATAGGACAAACGAGAAAAGTTACAACTTGTCCAATGAACTAATCTCATTGAGAACATTGTTCGTGTAAAGTTTGAAGTCAATGCTCGAATGTTGATTTTTCATGTGATCTGAGGGGATCACAACTTTTTTATCGAAAAATTCAGTAAAATTTTGATATCTCAAGAATGAAGGCTCAGAAAACTAAACCATTCTAGACTTTTCTTTTATTCACTAGTACTCATCAAATAAACAGCGCCTCAGTCGAAAAGCGATTCGACATCTGGAGAGGTTCCTTTATAAGTGGCTACGCTGTTCGACACGTGTCCACAAGGTACTATGTGCAAACCTCAGTACCGTTAGCTATGAAATGACCCTGAACAAGTCATTAAATATTGTCTGCCTCCGATCACCTGTTCGATATCATGCCGACTACGTTGTGACATACATCTGCTCTTGCGATCTGTTAACGTGTATAGAAAGCTCAAGCAATTAAGCACCAGAACTCTGCATTAGCCTAGTCTTCTGTCCAGAGCTACAACGAGTCATAGTTCTAAAGAAGATATCGAGTTATTGAATCTGTCACTAAGCAGCATTCCCTACCATAAAGTAGCTGAAAAGCAGAAATATTTTTCTTCATTTAACATATTATTTTATTCTTTGTTTATTATTAGGAAATGATGATCCGTCAAAAATGGTTATGGTACTTGGTGCAACAAATCATCCATGGGATCTTGATGATGCTATGCGTAGACGATTAGAAAAGCGTATTTACATTCCATTACCAGATCTTGAAACACGAAAACAATTACTTGAAATAAATTTAAAAGAAGTTCCACTTGATACAGATGTTAATTTAAATTTAATAGCTGAAAAACTTGAAGGATATTCTGGATCAGATATAACTAGTGTTTGTCGGTTAGTATAATAAATAAAATTAATTTATATGTATTTATATATGTATGTATATATATATATGATTTTTTTTAAAAATTTTAGAGATGCAGCAATGATGCAAATGCGTCGTGTAACTGAAAATTTAAGTATGAGTGAAATACAAAATATAGCACAAAATTTAAAAGAACAATTACAATTACCAACAAAAATGGAAGATTTTACAAATGCTATTTCGAAAATTTCATCATCTGTTTCAAAAGAGGTGCTTGAAAAATATGATAAATGGATGAAAGATTTTGGTTCAGTTTAATTTTTCGATATTCTTTATTTTTTTTTGGCTTGTTTATTCTCTCTATTTATATGGTATTTACTCACATCATTACAATATCTTTCTTTTGGAACAATGTCAGTTATTATATATTATTATTCTCCCCTCCCTCCTTTTTTTTCTATTGACATCTATGGCAATACTGATAAAAATTCGTATGTTATGAAATAAATGAATAAAGATATATATATATAGGGTGTCCAGAAAGTCACTAGAGTTAGAAAAAATTGCATATCTCTCTGCTACGGCTTGAGCAAACAGGCTGATTTTTCTATCAATAATAGAAGCATGTTCACACTTTAAATCCATACAGACAAGATTAGAGAGAGCCTTTGTTAAGTACCACCAACGATCTCAACAAAAAAAATTTCACTTTTTCACAGATAGGAAAAAAACACTATACGGAATGGCGCAAAAGTCACTTTGCCGAAAAAAAATTGAATATCTTCACTATGGCTTGAGCAAAAGAGTTGATTCTTTTATCAATGATAGAGACATGTTCAAGCTTTATATTCATAAAGACATGCCTAGAGAGATCCTTTGTTAAGTCTATTGTTTTTTTTCTTATCTGTGAAAAAGTAAAATCTTTTTTGCTGAGGTCGTTGGTGGTACTTAACAAAGGCTCTTTCTAACCTTGTCTGTATGGATTTAAAGTATGAACATGCTTCTATTATTGTTAGAAAAATCAGTCTGTTTGCTCGAGCCATAGCAGAGAGATATGTAATTTTTTCTAACTCTAGTGACTTTCTGGACACCCTATATATATACATATATATGTGTATGTGTATGTATATACGATAAAGCATAAATCACTTCAGCTTTGAAAAATCAGAAGAAAAAAAACAATATAATCATTATCTAATTATATATCTATATTTTTATACTGATCGGTAGAATAATTTTCATACACGTTCGAGACTCATTGAAGGACTGCTATTACCATGTATGATTGATTTGCTATGCTTCAATGATATTTCACTTGTTACGGCTACATGCATTCGTGTGCGAGTTATAAGTATAACAGACATATATATATATATATATGTATATAACACAAATGTTTGTATTTACATTCGTCTATCATCAACCGACTGCGATTCTTTTAGCTTCTTAGCTAGGTTGGCTTTCTTTCTATTTAATACGTATACAATTTCCCAGTTTACGTCGAACTACATATTATTCCAACTAGACTTTAGGAATGTCAACATAGCATATAAACCAGTTGTTGTTGTTAATATATCTTAGTAATATATCTATAAAGGAAGATACGACCTCGTTTTGTGCTTCTTTTAACCGCATCCAAGGCCGTTGTTTTTTTTCTCTTCTTCCCGTTACGAGTAGGAATAGAATGTATGATAATTATACATATATGAAAGAAAAAAAAAGAAGCAAAATACTGGATAAAATAATCCAGCCGGAGATTTGCTTTGTTGATTATCTAATAGTGGCATTACTTATTGCTTGCTTGATTCTTGTCTCATACTCTTCCCCCATAAGCCCATTAGAGTTATCGAACAGACGACCCATCTTTCATATGTTGGCTATCGACTAAAACCAAACAAGACATTCTGTGGTTTATTAAAGGTATCAGATCGACTTTTACTGTTAACTGATACGTTCTTAGTTGATTGACACAAAGGCTGAGCCCAATTATTATTATATATATACATTCATACACACATATTCTTGCAATTTTTTCTTACATATATTTTGTCCTTAGTAAATCATTATACCGCTAAAGGACGACAATATTACTCTACAAAGAAAAAAGAAAAAAGAAATAACAAGAATATAAATAAGAAACAGAAAACGTATAGAACTCAATAGAAGATATAGATATCTTCTATGCTGACAATCAACTATCGAACAAGGTTGGCCGTTGTAGAAGATAGACTTGATGAAATGGTCATTGTTCGTAGATATTAATATCAAGAATAGTAAATCATAATTGACGGCAACTTATTTTTCTTTACTAAGGGAAAGAGATTTGTATGCATTATTAGATATTATACAATATAGCATGGAGCTTTCCCGATTCTATTTGGTATTTATTCTATTTTTATTATTATCTACAGTTGATCTTACTGAAGTAAGTAAATTATAAAGAGACAAAAAAAAAACTCGATCAAAACATTTTAATTATTCTTTAAGTTTAATTTTCAATGTCCAATTTCTCGTCGTTTATTGTCGGTTAGTTCATTAAAATCATCATTAATAGAAAAGAAATCTCATGATAGTTCAACATCTTCAAAATCATCATCGTTACCATCGTCACCACCAAAATATGCTCGTTCAAGTGATTCTCATGGTCTTACAGTTTATATTCGACCATTATCACCAAAATCACTTGGTCCTAAAACTCATTCATATAGTCATTTACTTAAATCAAAATTGCATACAAATAAAGGAAAACGAAAATCGCATACAAACAAAGAAAAAACAAAATTAAAACGATCAAATAAACAAAAGAAAAAAGAATTGAAAAAGAAAAATTCTACAAAACATAAATCATCAATCAATACTAAAATTCAAGAATTAGTAGGTAGTAATCATGATGAACTTCATCAACATCAAACATTATTTCATACTGATTCAACACCAAAAATTGATAAAAAAATTAAAAAATCAAAAAAATCAAAATCAAATAAGCAAGTAAAAGTATCTGAAATTAAAAATGTTACTCGTAATATTCCAATTGCAAAAGATATTACAAAAAAATTACCTACTACAACAACAACAACAGCTTTACCAATAAATAATAAAAAGGTAAAAAATACAAAAAGAGTTAATGAAGCTAATATTGATGAAAAGAAAAAACCCAAGGAAATATTAGTCAATAAAATAAGTGAAAATATACCTCTCACTTCATCTATGAATGATAAACCGTCTACAACTTCTTCACCTTCTCCTTTATCATCATCAAAAATAGATAGAAAACCTCAAAAAGATAAATCAGAAACAATCAATACAATAGACGAAACATTAGATACATCTGATGATGAAAATAATTCAGTTGTTGGTCGTGCTTATCATTTTGTTAAAAATATGTTTCAATTGTCAGATGATTTTCTTAATGATAATCATACACAAAACAATCATATAGTCGATATTATAAACGAACATCAACAATATCATTCTCGTAAATTACTTTCAATTAATGATGATAATACATCAATAATTGTGAATAATGATATAACTAATAATGAATATGATTTTGATTTAAATGATGAAATACCTGATGTAGCAATTAATAATTTATCATTTATTATGACAAGTATATCAAAACGTCGATTACTTTCTGTCAAAACAAAGAAACATTCAATATCATCAAAAGATCAAAATGACAAAGAGAAAAGATCAGAATCATTAAATGAAATTAATGCGAATGATAAACCGAAAGTTGGTTGGGCTTATCGTTATCGAATTTCACGTTATCTTGATGCTCAAAAATTGAAACAAAATAAAAATAAAAAAAAAATTACAGGAGAAAAAAAAACTAAACAACATTTTCAAAAACGACAATCAAATTCAAAACAAAATCAGAAAAAAATTGATTCTTCACATAATAAAAAACTTTCAAAACGAAAACTTCTTAAACATAATAATGATGATGATACAAGTGGGAATGAAGATAAAATGTAAGTTTATTTTTTATTTTTAGAAATTTTGTTTTAAAAAATTAAAACAAATTCTCAACTTTATAAACATGTTTCTTTACAAGATCTTTCATTTATATTAATAATTTGAGTTGTAATAATAGAAATTTTGTTTTCGACCGATCAGTCAGTTTCCTCTATGACAAAGATTAATGTTAAACATAAGAATAGATTTCAATATTTTTTCTTTATATGTCAGATTCCAGAACTAGGCATGTACGAGTATGAGTACATACTTATACTTGCCTAATTCTGTTAGACTGGCGAAATAGCATTGTCATCTGATTGTTGAGTTAGATTTCGAGAGTTTCGATATACTGCCTGAGCACTACTTCTGTGAATTATCAATGACTTCGTACTAAATTGCTAATGCACTACTAAACTATTAATATTTATCGATTGAGTCGGCTATTTATCGAGCTTAAGTCTTTCTAATGAATCACAAAACAAGAGAGAGAAAAGAAATTGGGCCTTAAGATCTAGTTCGTATAATCATACAAATAAACTAAATTAATTTTTTTTTCTTTAAACAAAAAAAAATGAACCCACGTACACATGCGGAATGCGTTTTCAAGTCATTTTTTAAGCTGATGATTATTTTACGATGGGATTGCTTTACTAACTATTTAAACCTTTGCAAAAATTCATAGTATTAACACTCTATTTAAAACGTTTTGACAAAAATCAAAATTATTGTTGTTTTTTTTTTTTCAAACTTATAAATTAAAGATTTTAGTTTTATAGCTATTCTATTACTTATCTTTCAGTTTCATTCAAAAAAAAATAAAAAACCTATAATTAATTTTCTTTTTTTACTTTCATTAAAACAACATTTTCAGTCTTTCAGGTGAATAATCAAAAAGAAAACAAATTCAATAACCTGTATGTAAATATTAACCCTTCCTTTATACATATAGATCTAACCAAGATACTGTCAATACTGTATCAATTACCGAAACTTTTGTACCTAAACGTCGTTTATTAATGTCTAAACGAAAAATTAAGCATGAAGAAGATAATAAAGACGATGAAGAAGATATCGATAAAACACAAAAATTTCGTCGAATGAAATCTTTTGATGAATCTACTGATCCAATCCTTATCGTTCAGTCATATGATCATGGTTTATATAAACCTCGTGTCGGTTGGCAATTTCGTTATCGTGTTTCTCGTTATATTGATTCATTACGTGACAATATTCGTGAAGATCAAGAACGTTTAAAATTAGGTTTACAAGCTATTAAACGTAAAACACCACAAGAATTAAGTGGTAGACGTAAACGTGTTTCAGATAAACCAGTTGTTCCTAATGCGGATGAAATAAAAAAGAAAGAAGAACCAAAAACAATTGTACAAGTAATTCAAATTTTTTTTAAAATTTAATAAAAATAAAAAATCAAATTTCTTTTTTGTATTTGTTTTTGTTTCTCATTTAGGACGATAAGCCTAATGTTGGTTGGCGTTATCGATATCGTATAAATAAAATGACTGAAGCTAAAAAACGTGGAGATTATATTGATAATGAACAAGAGAAACGAAAAGAACATCTTGAACAAGAAAAGAAACAATCAAGTCTAAATAAATCTCCAGATGATGAACATATTCAAGGAGAAAATGATCTTGATCCTGAACTACGTCAAGTAAATGCTATAGGTCGTCGTGTTGGTTGGGCATATCGTTATCGTATCCGTCGCAAACTCGATGATTTAAAACGACAACAAGCCGGTAAATTTTTATTTTATCATTCAATTTTTGTAAAACTTCGTTTTCGTTTTTTTTTTGTTTGTTTCAATAATTAGAAACTGGAATGATCTTTGATTTACCAACATTAAGTTTTAATAAAACTGAAGAAACAATTGTTGAATCAAAGCCGAAGTCAAAAGAAAAGAAGAAAACAAAAAAACCAACTGAAGACAAACCAAAAACACCAACTGGAGACAAACCAAAAAACAAAACAAAGTCTGTCGGTTCGCAAGATCGATCTCATGTATCAAAAATGCATGAAGCACAAAAACATAATAAATCAAAAACAGCAATAAATAAAAGTCAAGATCAAACATCAACTCAGAAAGAGCTTGATCCTGAATTAGCACGACTTACATCAGAAGATCGAAGCGTCGGATGGAAATATCGGTTAGTTAAATTTATTGTCTTTAGAAAAAATCTCATACTTTTGTTTTCATATCGTTATTTATTTTAGTTATCGTGTCCAACGTAAACTTGATGCATTAAACGAAGCTGCTAATCGTGAAGATGAAAAACGTACTAAAAAGTTACCATCATCATCATCAAAAGGAAAAAAGAAAAAAAATCTTATGGAAAAAGTTGAAGATTCGTCTGAAAAATCTCTTAATATTGATGAAACATCATTTACACAATATTTGTATCATGCATCATCCTATGTTTTAAATGGTCTTTTACCAACAACTAAAAAATCTATTTGTATTTTACCATTACCTATGACATTTTCATTTTGTAGACAAGACAATAATGAACAATCAGTAACAGAAACAGAAAAAACAAAACAAATTCCAACTAAAAAATTAAAAATAAGAAAAGAAAAGCGTGCTAAACAGTTTATACGTTCTCATGTAACGAAATTAGGTAAAGATGATAAATATACTGAACGACGTGTTGATGAAGCTATGAAAAATTTATATAAAACACCATCATTACCACCTTCACAAACCCAATCATCAACTCGAAAACATCGAAAAACTCAAAAAAACCAATATAAACATGCATCTAGACGACCAAATCAAGATGAACAAAAAAAACATTTTAAGGAAGAACATATGACAACAAAGAAGATTGGAGTTGAATCAAAAAAGAATAATAAAAAACGATCTCAACTTATTGGTCAAGAAGTTAAAATTAAACATAAACTTTGTCCATTCGCTGTTACAACACCACCTCCAGCTAAACAAATTTCTCAACCATCTTCGTCTTCTTCTCAACGTCCCCGAACTATTTCTGAAGTTATCCGTGACGAAGCGGCAACTCTATTTGGAGGAAAATCTAAATCTTCGAAAACACCTGAAGAAATCAAGGACGAAATAAACGAAGCCAATGAAATTATACGAGAACATTCAAAGATTGAAACAACAAAAACGTCGTTGCCGCCGCCATCGGATCCTATCGATAGTACAATATCTAGCAAAGAAGATCAGTCAACATTGAATAATAACAACAAAGCAACAAGTGAAGAAAATACAAAAGAAAATCTGCATGATATGCTTAATTTAGAAGATCGTAATGATAGTTCTTAGAAAAATTATTTTTACCTTCTTTTTTCAATAAAGAAGAATTTTTTAAAATATTATTTATATAACTAGTTTAAATATTAGAATATTTTAATGAAGTCAATGAATTAATTGATCGTTGTGATTGAGTATTAATTGATGTTGATTCTTCTAAATAATTAATCATTTCATTTGAATTAAGATATTCAATAGAAATCTGTTTATGAATTCGTGATGGACGATTACACTTGATACAAATAAAAACTAAAACAATGATTATCGATATGAATATAATAGAACTAACAAATGATATAAATATGATTAAGGCTTTCTTTAATCTATTTGTTGTATATTGTTGATTATTGAATATTAATGATGCATTAGTAATTGTATTAGAAAGAATCAATTTATCATTATTATATGTCATGAAATTTCTTTTTACTGGTTGTAGATGTTCATCAAAACGTTTATAACGTACAAATAATTGTCGACGATGCAATTTAAAAATATCTGATCGAGAGAGAATAATTGTTGATTGACATATTGAATAGTAATTTGTAAGCATAGAAAGCCAAATTTTAAATATGAGTTGAAGCATATTTCAATACTTAAATAAACAACAACTCCTAATATTACATAAAAAAAAATATCTACCCGCTTTTACTTCAAATTAATAGTTGATATATAAGAATTTATTTGTTATTTTCAATATTTTGACGAGATTTAAGTCAATACTCATTTTCAATATATTTAAAAATGTTAAGAACTACTTTTACAATAAATACTAAGAAAAAAAACCATATCCTCTTGTCTAATAATTACCATCAATTACTTTTTAGTTTAAGATTTTCTCATTTGCAATTTTTATTAGTGAATCAACAATTAAAAATCATATTGATGAAACAATTCTATGGTGGAATAATATCATTTTTAAAAGTGTTGCTCTGGCAAGTTAGTGTCTACATTAACCTGCACGTTTTCATCATTGCAACATGTCTTCGAATAACATTGATTGTTTACCTTTTGATAAGAATTCTCTAAATGAGTTTTTTCCCCTCAAAAGAACAATGCAATGCAATAATTATGTCTTTATATATACCACAGTTGTGTGAAAGAATAAATAGAATGGAGTGTGTAAGGATCAAACGATTGACAGCTCATAGGAATGATAATGCCAAATTACTTATTATATTCGTTTCAAGAGGTAAAAGATTCCAACTGATCAAAATACATATTGCAATGGCGATATAAACTGGACGGATACGTAACATTTGTCTCCCTGGGCAACACTTCTTTTAAACAAAAAATCCAGAGATTACTTTTGTTCATATGAAATAATCTGTTTCTATTCTTACATGACATATGGAAATCTTAACAATACTTGCTAAAAATAATTTATCTAATTAGGAAAAAATGTTGCTCTGGCAGATCAATGTTATCATCAATCTGCACGATTTCATCATCGCAACATGTGTTCGTATTAATTTTGACTATATACCTTTTGGTATAAACTTGTTAAGCAATTTGCATGCTTCAATACAATCAAACAATAATTCTTCTGTCCTTACATATTTTGCTTCTATTTGTCCTTCTTTCTCTATAACATGTGTTAGGACATACTGATTATTGTTCATTCTTTTTCGGCAATGCCAATCGCTTATTACACTTTTGCACTAAAGTAAATAGCTGATTTTGATCAAAATGTATGTTGCGATGACGAACTTGAGAGTGGACTAGTTGGTATATTAGTCTACCTGAGCAACAATTTTATGAAATGCAAAACCAAAAAGATATATTGTGATCGTATTGCTTTCATTATCATATATTTTATTATATGTAAAACTCGTCATCCATATCAATCTATGACTAACCATTCATCGATAATTGTATCATTTCCCACAAATCATTAGTAATCATTTGAGAATCAACATTTTACTATTAGAGATATTTCAAAAGTCCGATGAAAAGAATTACATTAATAACCTTTCAGCATTTTTTTGTTCTATAGTTAAAAATAGTCTAATCTCCCAAGTTTCATTGAACTTAATTCTGATAAATATCTATAATGATAATTTAATTCAAGTGTCTTGCAACTATAAAACCAAAACTATAAGTCAGGTGTGATAAAATCAGATCAAATGACTAATACATTAAGGTTACATTTCAAATCTTTTGTGAGATTACTAAGATAGAAATTCAAGCTTATTCTGAATAATTTAATGTGGTCATTAAAAAAAAATGCGTTGAAACTCATGATGTTTATAAACAAATATTCGAATGAAATGGTTTATCTATTTCTTAAGCTGATTTCATATTACAAAAGAAACGACACATAGAATAATTACTGAATATTCCTTATTAAAGATATTTATGGCAGATATATTCAATAACTCTACCCAAAACAACTTATTAGATCGTAATGAAATGTGTAAAATTTAATTGCAAATATTGATAGATAATAACATCAGAGAGAATATTGTTTTTTTTCTCAAACTGAACAAGTCTCTTGTTAATGGTTAGATACAATATTTATAAGATACTTATCAAAGATTTCGTTGAAACTAAAATGACAATAGAAAAACAAATCAAAATGGTTTCAAAAGAAATTCCATAAAAAATTTTGGTCTTTTTTTTCGAAAGAATGTGTTCAGATATTTCAATTGAAGCTGATTATTTTGAAGTACTACCGTCTATAAAGTTATATTATTTAACAAATATTATAAATAAATTCTTCTTATGTACATACAGTAAAATCTCTACTAATGAACAGCTGCTTACTCGGAATAGTGAACACTTTTTTGCAGTCTCTTTTGCTATTATAACCTCTCTAATGTGAACATGGTTTTTTTAACCTTTTTCTCTTTTCTGTTACCTTTTTCGTATACAAAATGAGTACGTACATTTTGTTTAAAATATAAAACAGAACATTTAAATGATTATGAAACAAATCAGAATCAAAGCGTTAAACGACAAGTAGAAGGTGTAAATGCACAAAAACTAGATGATCACGTGTCGGCATGGTTTGTAAAGGCAGGTACAAAAAAACACTAGTTCAAAAGCAAAAAGACAAAAAATATTCGATAATTCTTTTTGAAAAACAATTAAATTTTGTGTTGTACTTAAAAAATCTTTCAATTCAAATGAATCTAGATGAATAAGAGAATAAATAACCAGGCCTTTATCTATAACTAATATAGAAGTAGAGTTTCTGGAATCTTTTCTTCATTTCATAGCAAATTATGCTTCAACTCTCTAAAATGAACACCTTCGTATAGTAAATACTTTTGAATAATTTCGATAGTGTTTACAATAGAGAGATTTTACTGTAAACTATATTTAAGATTTGATGATCTTTGTTCATCGAATAATAAATAAAAAGATGCCTTCGAATACACTACAGACATTTTATTAGAAGACTTAATTAATATAAATCAAGGTAATGATGATGACCATCATATATTACAAATAGAATCACGTATTCAAAGATTCGTTTTGACAATATTCAAATTATTAATCAATTAAATATAAAGATGAATTTTTTTCTATCGATAAATATTGATCAATATTTGCTAATGTCGAAGAAGTATTCATTTTTGATAATAAGTTATTCGAAATAAAAAACAAAAAGATAATATTAAAAGACTTAATGATTATTTTAGTGGAATTATATATTTATCTATGTTGAATTGATAAATATCAAGATGAAATGAAATTTTCTTATTAAGTTGATTTTTTTTTTCATTAAGATTTATTTATTTTTAATATTAATTAACTAATATCATAATAAATGACTAGTTGTTAATAGCTTAAATGAAATAATTTTGAATAAAATTTTCAAATCTATTGTTTTTGGTCATTCATAAAATAAATTTGTCATGTAATAAATCGTGATATTTATTGACATGATCAATTCATAAATCTTATTTACAACAATAATAACACATACCTTGAAATATATGTACAACATGACATATGACAAATTTGAGACATTATTCTCTCAATTATAAAAAGAATCATTCATTATTTCGAGTTAGATGAAACGCACAAATATATTCTTAAGTCTTGGTATAGGATGACTTGTTGGTAGAAAACAAAAAATGATTAAGGACAAATTGATGCATGAAGAAAATGGCAGATCAATGACAAAAGCATTATTATAATAATTGAGTCTTTTTTCGAAATTTTTTACTGTCATAAGAAAGATGAAAGAAAAGGTTGGGTATCATCAAGTACACTTTGTGATGAAGGTTTTTTGTAAAAACTTTACTCTTGTAGATCGTTATTTCGTCAACGGCAGATATGTTTATTAGAATTAATCATATACCTGTTTATAAACAAGGATCTAAATCAAGTATCATTCTTGATGCATAATTTTTCTACAAATATTGTTTCTGATTAGATTTTTTTGTTGCGCTGTACATAATCAATGTACACATTGCACTGATGAAAATATATTGACGATATCTACCTTCTAACTGTAACGCTTAATTGTTTTTATTTACATGAAGAAATAAATCACCAACTGGACATTTCTATGTTCTTTGTTTATATCAAATCTCTTAATTCGGAAGCAAAATGTTTGAATTTTAATCTTAAATACACAAAATATTAACAACAGTCTTAAGTAGTAGCGTAATCAAGTTTTCAACGATACAAGAAGCTTAACCTCTTTAGCCACTTGTGTTGATTACGCCACTGTTCTTAAGTGAATTTTATTCATATAACATCAAAAACAAAAAGAAACAACATTTAATCACGTTCATAAAGTGTTAGAAAGTCTGGCATAAGTGCTGATCGTGGATTTGCATCAAATGGTATAATAATTACAGGTTTAAATGGTGGACCAGATATTTTATGTGTTGTACTTTCACCACCAGACAAACTACAAAATAAAGAATTTGAATTTTACATTCTAAATAAATTTTCGAATACGAATTATTTACCTATAAAGAAAATGTAGAACAGAAGAATTGATACCACGATGAACAATAATCAATCGATCAATAAAATCACATTCACGTAGGACACTGACAATAAATTTATCTAATCGAAAAAAAAAACAAAAACAACAAAATATATAACAACTGAATAATATATTGCTTGTTATACTTTGTCGTAAATCTTGTCGATCAAGTTCATTTCTAGGTGGTCCAAAAATACATGTTAAGGAAGCATTTTTCTTTTTATTTTGTTCAATTTTTGTTAATATTGTTTTAAATTCATCTTTTGTTGTACAAGTACTAAATTGAATATTTTGTGTATGAGCTAGAAGAAAAATAAAATGAATTAATTAATAAAATAAAAAACAAAATGATTACGATATTTTTCTTGTGTTTTCATTGCTGCTTTTATTGCAAATCGACTTGAATCAAGACCATAACATTGATCAACATGTTGACAAGCAATTAATGGTAAAACACCTAAAATATTCAATTTATTATTCCAAAAAATTAAATATAAAAACAAAACAAAAACCAATATCAGAATAATATTGAAGAAATACAGTTGATGTTGGTTCGAGATTACATAATTTTAATACTTCACCATAAATTAATTCATAAGCTATTAGATTTGATATTCCATAGGATTGTAAATTTGGTTCAAATTTCATATCAAATAAATCATAATAAAATGGTTTATTTTTATCACCGATAATCTTTTCATAGGATGTTTCATTAACAATAATTGGCCAACGTTGAGATCTAAATTGAAGAAAGTAAAACAAAAAAGGAAAATAATTTTAAAAAAAAATTTTATAAACCGTCGTTCGAAATATAAATGATCAATTTGACATTCTCGTCCTGGACCATTCTCAAAATATGTAAATAAACGTTCTCTAGCTGCTTGACGTTCCTTTTATTTTTTTTAGAATAAGATTAAATTAAAATAAATATAAAAAGAAAACAATAATAAATCTTACTGAATTATTAACTTTTCGATCAAAATAACCAATAACAACATTTTTTTGATCTTTTTTATTTGTATAAATACGTATTGGTCGCCAATGATGTAAAACATATTCAATATTCGATATATCTTTTACTTCTTTTTGAAGAAAATTATAATAATGCTATATATATATATATATAAAGAAAACAAAATCGATTTTTTCAAATAAAATTTAATACAACACAAAAAAAAAATTTACTTTAATAATCAAACGATCACGTTTTTTATATATATCTATATCATCAATAGGTAAAACTAACATCATCTGATTGTCTTCATTTGATGCTAAAAGAAAATTTTCATTACATTGAACTGATAAAGAATTTCTTACTTGAATAATCATTTGAAATTGATCGATTAGGAATTCCAAGTGCTAAATCACCTGAACGTGTTTTACCTAAATCAGCTATACATGTTGTTAAATATTCACTTGTTGCTGACTAAAATAATATTTCATATATAATTATAAATAATATTAATACAAAAAACAAATTATTACAGTTCGTTCAATATCTCGAATAGGACATAAATTAACATCATTCGTTCGAATTAATTTACGTATAGATGGATGAAGTGCTCGATCATAAAAAAGTGTTTTAGCAACTGATTGAAATCGACTTTCAAGTTGACGTTGTTTGAGCTAGAGAATTTTCATAAAACCAAATAATAATCATAATCATAATCATAATAAACTGATTAACGAACTTTTAATTCTTCTTCATAGGAAATATTTTGATACGGCATATACAATTCAACAGCCCTAAAATAAGATAACTATATGTAAGACAATACAATATACATAGCTTTATTTGATCCTCACACGACCACCTGGAGTTCGGACGAACCTCAGTCAACTCCATCATACCGTTATAACTACATAATATTAGGTGAAACTGTTCATCTTGTAGATATGTTCTAGTGAAGACTTGGAAAGTATGATAATAACATCAGCCAGTTAAGTTCAATTATATTAATATGAATAGACAGTTCCAAATTACATGTGGATGTTTGTCGGTTACATATGGTCTATTCGAATGTTATGCATTTGTAACATTTATTCGAGTCATGTCTTTTAAGGATATATGTGGGACACTCAGTACAATACACTGGTACCATTACTCAATTATGCACAATTGTTTTTCTTAAGATAGAGCAATTCAAAGTTAGTGCAAATACTAAATTGCCATGCAATGATCTCAAACACCTCCAAAATAGACAAGGTAAGTATGCTTCAAACTTTTTGCTTTTCTTGTAGTCAAGTTTCTTTTTGAACCATCATTTGTCGATGATAGATAGTCTAAAAGGTGGTCGTGTCAGGATTAACATCTTTTAGTACCTTTTTCTTGGATCACGTAAAACATCAGTAGTAAGAAATGTTGGTAAATTATCAGGTGGAGATTCTACAGCTGTAAAAGACTGTACCGATGAATAAAAACGTTTCCTTAAACAACAATCGATTAATATACATTCATTGATTAAACAACATTTTACCGATATTTTATATAGGAAGATGAAATTATTCTTTTCATCAAACACGAAGAATACATGGTATCTGGAAAATCAGAAATCATTATTTTTTTTTTGAAGATCAATTGATGATATTTATGTATTTTGATTGTATTTATTCATAAAAAAGAGTAGAATCTTTCAATTAAAAATATAATAATGGATAAAAATAGTTTATTGATGTGAATATTTCATGAGAAATGAACACATTGATCGTATTGCATTTTGTTGCTCGATTCCTATGATATCCATCTATGATTTAGGATAGCATAATCATAATCGAAGAGCAATAGATTGTGTACATTTTTCATGCAATATTCATCATCAATTAATAATTATTGTTCTTAGGACGGACGACGACGAATATCATCAGTTAGACTAGCACCTGGTCGAGCGTACACTTCTAAAATGAAAAGAAAAAAGAGTGATAAAACCTTCGAATATATTGAAGGATAAACTAACGTGGTGTTGACGATTTCTGTTCATAATGAGTAGAACTAGTCTTCACTGAACAATTGCCGCCTCCCTTGAGTAGTCATCCCTGCTGTTGTTTTGCTGTCGACAGGCCATCTATTCTTGGATTAGACCGAAATACATTTGCAATACGACGGCTAACCCAAGAGACCGCATCGATAATTAATCAGACCATAGTCAGTCACTGACTATTGAACAATAAATAAGTACTTGAACAAAAAAATCAATATTTTATATCTGTAAAAAAAATCTAACATAATCTACGTTTGTAGAGAAAAAGAACATTGAACTATACTGATGATACATTATGTTGCTCAATCGACCGTATCTATATATAACCTTCTTGTCATCGTGTCTCTTTTCACTATGCTTTATACTGACAAACTTGAACAAATCAGTTATCAGTTATATTCTATTTGTTTGTCGTCTATTTATTTCGTTCTGTTATGAAAAGGTCGAAATATTCTTATCGATCTCCATCACTTTCATCAGCAACTTCAAGTCAACGAATTCGTACAAATAAGTTAAAGTAAATTTTCTTTTTTTTTTTAATTGTATTATATCAAATCTAAAAAAATAACAATACATTTCTATTGAGATCTTCTGCATCATCGGACTATGAATTTGTTGGTCGATTGGTAACACGTGAACAACCAATTATTCGAAAAGAACATTCAATAAAACAAAATCTTGTTTTTCCTCAAAATAAACAAAAATTTTATCATTCAATGGCGTCTCATGGTCGAAAAATTTACGAAGATATACCAGTTTCATCGAGTGATGATGATTTGGATGGTTTAAGTAAACCATTAGGTGTTATACGAATTAGTGATCGACATTTTCGAGAAAGTATATTCATCAAAAAGAAAAATTTATTCTACAATAAAATTTAAATAAAACTTTACTATAGTCTATCGATTACCAACACCACCACCTTCGGTTAAACGAGTTTATCATCGTCTTAAATCACCTGAACCTAAAGTAATTGAACGAGTATTTGTTCGTCGTCCTCCACCACAAATTATTGAGAATATTATCGAAATACCACCAGAAAAAGTTCGTATAATACATAAAGAAAAATATTTAGGAAAATCAACACCAATTACACGATCAAAGTAAAAAAAAAGAGTTAAAAATTTATCTATTCAAATCAATTTATCTTTTTCAGAATAGTACGGTTAAAATCACGTCAACAGCGTCTGAGAGAAGAAGAAGAAGAACAACAACAACAACAACAGCAAACTTTTATTCCTTTTGAAGAATACCCTCAACAACAACAGCAAAATTTTATTCCCTTTGAAGAATATTCTCAACAAACAACAACAATGCCGTCTACTACATTTCAACAATCACCAGGAACAACACTTGTTTATCCTCCACAATCAAATATGCGTACGGTTGGTTACATTGAATCAACAGTTCCACCACATATGATGTTTAATTCGAAAAATCCTCTTCAAATCTCAGCTAAACAAATTTCCAATGATCCAATCATACAACCAACACCCTATGATTATCCATCACAACAAGCACCTATTCATCATATGGGTCCATCAACACCTTATAATTATCCATCACAACAAGCACCTATTCATCACATGGGTCCATCAACACCTTATAATTATCCATCACAACAAGCACCTATTCATCACATGGGTCAACCAACACCTTATAATTATCTACCACAATAAATAATCTCAAAATTCTTCGTATGGATATACTCAATATTAATAAAAACAAGAAAACAAAACAAAGATTTCTTCAATAAAATTTTTAATTCATTCTAGAAGCACATAATACAATATATAGTATATTATATAAAAAAAGACATTGCTGTTAATAAAAGACTAAGTTAGATAGAAAATGGCATATTAATAATTAGAATGTTTTCAGAAAGGAAAATAAAATGAGTTTTTTTTTCTAGTCTGTTTTTCCACCACCATTTCGACCACCATTCAATGCAACCATAATAACCATTGACCAAAGTACAACACCCATTATAACGGCTGTAATCAAAGCCGGATAATCAAAACAAAATTTCAATATATCATACAGGTTCATGATATTGACTTTTAGATCATCTGAAATTCAGAAAAAAAAATAAAAAAGAGGAAAGACAAGAAATCTTCAAGGGTGGATGAAAGAAAGAGAAAACGTTTTCTATTCAAAAAGACAAAAATGGTCCAAGGGATTAAATGAACATGTCACTCTACAACTATGATTGATTGACCGTTCGTATGAATGCATTTTATTGAGGTGATAAAACTAAAAAACAAAACAAAATACAATCATAATAAAATATTCTTTTTGTAAATTTCTATTTCTTATACAAACCCTAATCTTCAGCAGCAGTTCCTTCATCGACAGCTTTTTGTCCATGTTTATCAATCATTGCTGCTCGTTTCATTTCATCAAATTTACGTCCATAGATTGGAATTCTTGTATTTGTTACTTTCCAATCGGTAATATAAAGAAAATAGATAAGAGCTGATGCACCGAATAATGTTAATGACGGTACACTAAAAACAAAAAAAATAATATAAGTAAAGAAAGAAAACAATAATAGGTTTTGATGGCATACTAATTCTTCAAGATTTGAAAATGTCTTGGACCAGTAAATCTACCAACACCTATAAAATAAATACAAAAATATTTGAACAAAAAAAAACAAAAATCCATTTACCTGGTAATTTACTCAAATAATAATCCATAAGTATAAACGTATTCTTTTCACACTTAATCTAAAACAATAAGTATGAAGGAATAATCAGATATTCAAAAAAAAAAAAAATTCTGTACAATCAATCAAAACGACTTAATATACAAAAAAGTATTTGTCGGTGAAGTATGATTGTTATTTTTTGTTAATTTTGCACGTAAACTCAAGTTAAGAGTATGAGAATGAATCTTGTCACATACACTTTTTAAAGATTTATCGTGCATAATCATTATTAGAAAATAAAAGAGATCAAATCAGAAAAAAAGACAAATAAATAAACTGACATTTTACAAGAGGCAATAAGTAAATAAATTTGCATATTCTTATCGTATCCATTATTGAGGTTCTGCATACCTTTAACCAAATTTTATTATATTTCATATAGTTGTCACTACTAGTCAGTACGGATGTGGCATTTCTATTTCGGACCAATTCAGAGAAACAAATAATACTAACATGTTCGAATTCATGCACGATCTATGCCTCTGTCCTATAAAAATAAACGAAAATTATTCTTGAATATCGTTAGAAATATGAATCGCTGTGATGATAAGAAGAAGTCATATATGTTTCCCTTGTTCATGTCTGGAATCAAGAGATTTTTTTATACAGAAAATCTACGAAAGTATAAGCTCACAAGTCATTTAAAATAATAACTGTGTAAAACTCTATTCGGCTTAAATAATTTCTATTCCTTGAATCTATCAATTTGCATCATCTTTTACCCTCTGAAAAATACTCTTGAAAAACAATTACCATCAGCATGATCAACTTTATGAACAAGATATTAATGAATGTTGCTAAGTTTGACATAAAAACACTTTCTATTCGAAAGAATTGGAACGCAAAATCAAAATATATGTTTAAAAAATGCAAAACTTTTACACTTGATAAAATATTTTCACAATCACATTGTTAATCTGATTTTTTGAAATATTACAAAGTCCAGCAGGTTCATGTCGAATACGATACGAAGCATAGTCTTTATGTAGTCGATCGCATATGCATTCGACCTCCATGCTTTGCATGTTTTTCGCTGTAACAAAATCTGTACTTTGTATTGCGATGATCTAGAGAAGAGTGGGTCACTAGAAATTTGATTGAACTTTGCCAGAGAGATCGATATCTCGAGATGATATAAACGTTTTTGAATCTTCCATATGAGTTTTCGTTCATATTTAGTAGGCTTTATAAAATAGCAATTTTGACGATTTAGCCTTCATCTTATATCTGAAATAATTAAAAGTGGTGAGAGCTAATCTCCAGTCAACTCAACCGGTAACTGTTATGAACAGAAGCGATAATGAAAATCTTCGACAGAACAAGATCGACTCTAGAGAAAATCACTTATCATTCTAATGTTAGTTCAAATCCTATTGCCAATATTTGTGATAGCTTCGCACCACATTTATGTAGTCCTTTACAAGATTCTTTACTTACCGGACACATGAATCCAAAGTTATCATTTTCTGTTGCGCTGATGTCAAGAATAAAGAGTCAGAAAATATGCTGATAGAAGATATTGCACTGTCTTATTCATATGTCGAAGAAGGTAAAAGTTGTTTTAACAGTGAGGATTTGTAGGGAATCTTTTTTCGTACCAAATTCTTATATTTCAAATCAAAACTGATTATATATCTTAAACTCTTTACCTTGGTTACACCATGAGTAGTGGATGTAAAAGGCTTATATCAGTACCAGCAGCAAAGTAGATATATATCTCATCAAACAAGAATGTATCTTATGAAAGTTAAAATAGCACGTTGTTATAAATTTCACTGTCTATCTACAAAGACGTGACATGTAAGAACTTACCATATATACTTAGTGCGATCTGCATTTGGGATGTTGCTGTGACTACAGTAAACGTTTTATTTCTACTGTTCATAGTGTAACTAAGGTATATAACTTAAAAGACGGTTCGTGACTCAATCGAGCATATTTACTATAGACTGTCATACGCAAAATGTCGACACAGTGTTCTGATCATTGAAAATGGAAAAGCATGTAAAACAGAAATTATAAATTCAAAGTTCTAGCCTTCTCTGAGTTACTCTTCAATAATTATGAAAAAAAACATTTGGTATGTGTCAGTGGAGCTCCATTTCATTTTTCTTTTCACGCCTTGCTGTTCTCACTCTATAGTTATTTTTTTTTCTATATATCAAGCAAATTGAATCGAACACAATATCTCAAAAAGATAGAACAAGTTTTTCTCTACAAAATTGGATATTTCAACTTTCTCTAGTTGCTTGCTGAATATGAATTTTGAGAGTCAATATCTATATATACTGCACAAAAATTACATACTAATTTTGAAAAATTTTTACCATTTTTTGGAAAAAAGATATTGAAAAACATGTGGATCGACAATGATTTTCTATGGATTCGATAGAATGAAAAAAGCTCTACAAGATGTATTCAAAAGAGTAATCAAAAAGTAAGCATATAGTACTTGAAATCAGACGAGAAGATGACGACGTGATACCTAAAAACAGCACATTTTCTGTTAGTTTTGAAATATGAGAGTTTAAAGTATAATATCATTAAAATTCTTTTTTTACAATGAACAGCTAAACCATTAACTTCACATATTGAATCTACTAGAAATATTAGTTCGAGACAGCATTAGATAGAGATATAATCTATAAGAATGAATTGTTTCTTCTCTATATTAATATGTTCGAGTCAATATTCTATCACTAATTACCATTCAGACTAAAGATTTCAACCAACCAACTGAGTTGCATGATGAACTGAAAACTTTTCTTGATCGGGCTATTCTCTGAATATGTATTGAAATGAAATAGGATCACAGTGCAATTCTGCTGCTCTTAATAGCATCGTATGTTGGTGTTTAGCTAGTTGTCTGATTTCTTGTTTTTCAGTCGTCACTTAAAATGGAACCACCTCAACTGTATCTTTCCGGTAGAGCTCATATTGGATTTACAAGAAGATCTCAGGAAAAATTAGAAAACGTCTACAAGGATTTGTTCCCGTACCCCTTTGAAGCCGGGTTATGACTGTTTTACTGAATTTTGGGTCCATTTGAAGGCATTTACTGGAAAATCAAATGATGGGTAGGGGTAGACATGGGAATGAATGAAGAAAATATCCATACCTGCACCCTTCTTCTGATAGTCATGATTATTTCTTATTCCAAAGATTCTTAAAGCATGGGTCATGGACCCCTTAAACTACTGAACTCGACCAGCTTTCGATTAATCGTGTTGGAGAAAACAAAAGTCCTAATATATACAGGAAAATTTATCTTTTTTCTCAAAATCAATTTTTTGAACAGAAGAAAGAATTTCTCCTCCGCCAGTTTCTTCCACACAGTATGTCCGATCGGACTCCGATTTTTTTAAAGAGTACTTTGGCCAAATTGGAGTGCGTGTTTTTTTTTCTTCTTCAAAATGTTCCTACGATACTCGGCATCCTTTAAAAATTTAGTAGCATTGAAAAAAACACCTTTTTTCGACGGTACTTCCAATATTTTGATTCTTCTACACTCTAAGAACGATATTTTCGGAAGAAAAAAACACGTACCCAAATTTGATCCTAGTTGTCATTAAAAAAAGATACAGCTCGAAAAATTCAGGTATAGAGTTTTGCAGGAGGAAGGGGAACTTCTGACCATTTTTGAGCATTGCGATCAATATATCTCCCTGAAGGAAGCATCTGAGAATTTTGAGTGTATGACAACCTTTGCGTTACTTATCGAGATCCATCTGCCTTGAAAGTTTCATCATTTTTTATCTAGCTCTTTTCGAGAAACCTCGGAAAGGGGAGTTCCTTAAAGCAGACTCTTTGTTCAACATTAAAAACTTACTGATAATTTAATTTTAACAATGGGCACTTACGATTCACCATCAAGCAATTAATATTATAAGGCCAGTTCAACCTCAAAACATATTGTGAGAGAATATAAATTCGCAGGAATTGTCTTCCTACAAAGTAACTCAGCTGGTTGGTTGAAATCTTCAGTCTGAATGGTAATTAGTGATAGAATATTGACTCGAACATATTAATATAGAGAAGAAACAATTCATTCTTATAGATTATATCTCTATCTAATGCTATCTCGAACTAATATTTCTAGTAGATTCAGTATGTGAAGTTAATGGTTCAGCTGTTCATTGTAAAAAAAGAATTTTAATGATATTATACTTTAAACTCTCATATTTCAAAACTAACAGAAAATGTGCTGTTTTTAGGTATCACTTCGTCATCTTCTCGTCTGATTTCAAGTACTATATGCTTACTTTTTGATTACTCTTTTGAATACATATTGTAGAGCTTTTTTCATTCTATCGAATCCATAGAAAATCATTGTCGATCCACATGTTTTTCAATATCTTTTTTCCAAAAAATGGTAAAAATTTTTCAAAATTACTATGTCATTTTTGTGCAGTATATATAGATATTGACTCTCAAAATTCATATTCAGCAAGCAACTAGAGAAAGTTGAAATATCCAATTTTGTAGAGAAAAACTTGTTCTATCTTTTTGAGATATTGTGTTCGATTCAATTTGCTTGATATATAGAAAAAAAAATAACTATAGAGTGAGAACAGCAAGGCGTGAAAAGAAAAATGAAATGGAGCTCCACTGACACATACCAAATGTTTTTTTTCATAATTATTGAAGAGTAACTCAGAGAAGGCTAGAACTTTGAATTTATAATTTCTTTTTTACATGCTTTTCCATTTTCAATGATCAGAACACTGTGTCGACATTTTTCGTATGACGCGATTTCCCGACTGCGACAAGGACTGTTTCTTACCATTACAATGATGAGTATAACATTTAACATTATGATGATGCATTAAACATTTACCATTTAACTAATGAATATTGATGTACATATATTTGTGATGTGCATTCATTACAACATCATGTAAATTATTTTTTATTTCTGTTATATACATTAATTATAGTTACAATGTTCCCAAGTCGAATTATCGGCTTCGATGATACCGTTTTGATCGA